AATGCTCCTCGCTGCAGCTGTAAATGGGGGTAAGTATGCAAACACACCGATGTGCCAAGTCTGCGTGGCTGTGATTCCAGCACAAGAGACCCAAGTTAAATAGGCGCACGCATGCGCGGTTCTGAGCTGACTTGGAAAAGAACTTACAGGAAGGGGCTGCTGTGGAATATGCGCCCCACCCCCGCTCTCCAACTGTGCGTCCTCTTATCTGTGCTGCGACAACTGAGAATGTGCACCAGGCCACAGACCGCTCGCAACTGGCCTGCGAACACCCACAACGCACCGGGTGGTCAAGGCAACCACGAGCTGTCTCCAGCTCTCCAGGCTCAGTCTCGGGTTGAAATGGGGGAGAAACAAGCAAAAATGCAGCACTTCCCTCAAGGAGAGGTGACAGCAGCTCATCACTGTAGAAGAAATGAGGACGCTTACTCTCATTTTTTGAATTCTGGTGCTTAAAGAAGACCAAAGACCAGTCCAAACCCGTGAAGTGGCAGGAACTGTTGGGCGGTTTCAAGCAGCAGCAAGCCTCATTCCTGATTTCACTTCCTCTCTCCCCTGCCCTCCGTGTGCAGTCTGGCTTCCGACCCGAGACACCACTAGGACTCCTGTCACCCACGTCGGAAAACAGCCTCCTCAATGCAAAACCCCATCACGGCCACAGAAGCCTGGGCCAGAGCGTCGCCACGCTCGCGAAGCTATCTCGAACACCCTGCCCAGGCTGCCATTCAGACAAGGCCACCTCGCTGATCCAGCCACGCTGCACACCGAATGTCTGCCACTTTGCTGGGAGGATGTTCGGGGGGAGGGGCACCCCGTTCACCTTGACAGATGCACAGTGCTTGACACATGGCCAGATCTACCGAATAAACACGCCTACAGTTGGCTCGGTGACCTAGGAAAACCCAATTATCACGCTTCGTCTTTGAAGTGCCTATAATAAGAACAAACTGAAACAACACAGGAAAAACCTGGACTGTTTCCAGGGAAAGTTTTCTTACAGAACCAAGACACCGTCTCTATTTCAAAGGGAAATTTCCAACATTTGGACACTGTTATTTTGCTGATTTGTCTACAACCCTTTAATATCAAAGGCCAAACTGTAGGATCTTCTCCATGAACAGCAAACCTCTTAATTAAAAACAGTAGGAAACAGACAGCCATCAGCTACAACCACAGAGCAGGCCAGCACCCGTGGTGGGTTTAGCTGGTCACATCTGAACTTCAGGGAGAGGTCCACACACAATCTCACCATCAGCAAAGCTGCCCTTGAGGCCAGAGCGGGGGCTTAACGAGGACCCATCTGGGACACCCACAGCCGTGGCTCCCTGGCCCAGAACGGCCTCCAGCCCCCTCACCTGCCCTCCCTCTCCCGGCCACCCTGTGCCCCCCTTGCCTCCCCAGCTCACTCACTCCACTCGCCAGGGCAGAAACTCAGGGCTGGGATCGCACAGCAAAGGCGGGGGTGGGAGGAGGGGTGGGAACCCGGGAGAGACCCAACCAGCAAGCCCCCACTTCCAGCCACTCCCCGGGCCTTGGGCTCCTCCCAGCCTGCCCAGCTCCCAGCATCTGCATTCTTGGTCGCCTCAGCATTTCCACAGGCCCGAGCTCCAGAGACCCAGGTGCCGACCCGCCCAGGCCACGACCCCAGCCTCAGCCCCAGCGAGCAGAGCAGGAGCACGGGGGTGGCCAGGACAGTGAAGGCCAGCACAGCCCTGGGCCAAGCCAGGACACACCCTCGAGATCTCGGGCCCACGGGATCCCGGGCCTTCAGGACACGACCTTGTCAGGAACGGGGGCCGCCTACGGTCATCTCCTGACACGCGATCACGTGCCGTTACACACTTGTAAACCCGGGGCTGCTGGGTTCAGGACGCATCCATGTTTGAAGAGGGGGATCACACGGGCTCCCCCTGGCCAGCCAAGAGTCTGTCTGCTAAGCCAGCACGTGGCTGGCTCACGCGGACTTCCCACGGACCCGTCCAGGGAGCTGGCGCCTGGACCCAGCCAGTCTTCCCCGAGGGCTGAGCCCCCCAAAGTCTCGTCCGGCGACTCCCTCAGAGTCTCCACCAGCGCTCCTTGCGTTTCTTCTCATCTCCTGATTCCTGATCATCCAGGCAAGATATCAGGCTCTGAATTCATCGCTCCAAGGCACAGGTCTGGGGACAGCGTGACTTGGAGTAACGACAGCGGCGCCACCCAAGCACATCTGTCTCCGGGCACCCAGGCATCCCCCCCGGCAAGGCCTGCATCCTGCTTTCCCTGCTGGTCACTGTGGGTTTCTAAAGGAACAGCGTCCCAGCCCTGTGAACCTGCTCCAGGGACAGAAGGCTCTGACTCAGCGGGCACTCTTGGGAAGCCTCAAGGCAGCGAGGGCTCCGCTCCAGATCTCAACAAAACTCCCCACGGATGACGACATTCGAAAGCAGAGCTCGGTCGCCCCTCGCCAGGCTGTCCTCCTCGAGCCTGCAACCTGTCCGGGCCTCCCTGGCTTCGGTGGCCTCCGGAAGAGCCCTGCGCTGAGTGTGGCCAGCTGCACAGGTGGGCTGGGAACATTAACTCCTTCCCGTCAGCCCCCCTCAGTGGAGCAGTGGGACCTCAACTACACAAGACGCAGCCCAGAGGAAAAAAACAAGTTCCAGAGCTGCAGTTTGGGAGGCCAAGGAAGAAGGATCGCTGGAGTCCAGGAGTTCAAGACCAGCCTGAACAACATAGCGAGACCTGATCTCTACCAAAAAAATTTAAAAATTAGCTGGCGTGCCTGTAGTCCCAGTTACTCAGGAGGCTAAGACAGAAGGATTGCCTGCGCCCAGGAGGTCGAGGCTGCAGGGAGCCATGATTGTGCCACTACACTCCAGCAATATGACAAAGTGAGACCTCAACTCAAAAACACACAAACAAAAAACCAAGTTCCAGAAGCAAAGAGACTGTGTCAGAGACAGTGGTAAATGCTCAGAATTTAAACCACTTGGGCCAACAGGAAACTTACAATGGCAAAACCACCAAGTTAAAAAAAAAAATTTACTCATTCATTCACAAAGGTGATTTAAAAAGAAAAGAATGCTTCCAAGTGTATAAACACTGTGCTTTCTGTAGCCTACTGAGGGACACATCCTCACTTTACTCTGAGTTTGTGTTGCTGGGTTGTAGACCTTAAACTTGACTCAGAATAAAATTAACTTTAAATTTAAAAAAAAATTCATCTTAGCCAAGGACAGGAGTATACTGTACGGAAACCAGCCAAACTCATTACGCACACACACACACACACACACAAACAAGCAAGTGGACAACACCAATAAAATTTCTCCATGGAGAGAAGAGCATACCTGAAAATAGATGACTTTTTTCTTTTTTTGTGAGTCAGCGTCTCATTCTGTCATCCAGGCTGAGTGCAGTGGCACACTCACGGCCACCACAGCCTGGACCTGCTGGGCCCAGGGGCTCCTTCCGCCTCTGCATTCCAAACTGCTGGAACTACAGGTACACGCCACCACGACCGGGTAATTTTTTGATTGACTGTAGAGACAAGGTCTCGCCAAGTTGCCCAGGCTGGTCTCGAACCCATGGGCTCAGGCAATCCTCTCCTCAGCCTCCCAAAATGCTGGGATTATAGGCGAGAGCCACCGTGCTCAGCTCACGACTTTTTAAAGTAGGATATTTAATTCCAATTCTCTGTTAAAACATTTATGCTGAGGAAGAGGCGTCTGCCTAAGTGCTGATGTTTGGGGAGCCAGCGGGCAAAGATGCAGGCGAGGAGGAAAGCCGCCTCACAGGTAGCAAAGAAGGGTCGAGAGGACTGTGAGTAAAGAAAAGCTGCCAGAAGAGTGCACGTCAACGGACTTGAAACCTTTTCCTCAGCACACTGGCTCGCTTCACAATTTTATGTACTCAATTCGCCCAACAGTGCTTTTGGTGTTGGGCCCGCGCTATGTGCCAGGTATGTTAGCATTTCTACAAAAGCCACACCGTAAGGCCTCACGGGCCTGAAGTCAGCAGTCTGAAAATAATCTGGACCTCAGAAAGGGCGACGCGCACATGCGCCAGGCCAGAACCAGCCCTTGAGATGCAAGGCCGAGGCTCCCTCTGGGACCCCTGAGCGACCGGGAAGCAGCCGCAAGGGTGGCGTCCTTCCTCTTCTTCCCTCGTTCTCCCCGGTACCCAAGCAGCACCTGTCCATCACCTCCTGGGCCCCTGGCTGGGCCTCATGCAGGACAAAGAGCCCAGGTGGAACTCTTTCAGGAGCTTAAACCCGAATATAGAACATCGCACACGCCAGTACACAAGTGCACCCTACGGGGGCAGAGATTAAAGGGCACCACGGCACAACTGGGTGGTCGGAACGGCCATGAACTTGCCCCACTAGGCAAACACGGAGCTCCCTGAAGCCAGAGCCTGAGGAGCTGGGCCGCCGGGCATGAGCGGGACCTCAGGGAGAGGCAACAGCGGGGGCTCCACAGGCAGGAAGTGCACGAGCAAAGCAGAGGATAAAGAGCAGGCGCATGTTTTCTGCACTGTTCCCACAGCCTTTGGAGGACAGCAGTGAGTCTTCAGCAAACAAAGCAACCCATCCTCAGAGCGGCCACCTCTGCAAGCCAGAGGTTCCGCCCTACAAGGTGCCCAGGTCAACGCCCACACTTCAATAACAGCAGATGCCTTCTACCTGAAAACAGGAAGCTCACTACTGGGCCCACCTCCTGCTCGGATGCCCTGTGGACCTTCTGAGCTGTGCCAGAGGCCCAGGCCCTCTCTACTGCGGCCCTCGCCAGCCCTCGCTGCCAGTGGTCCAAGGTCTTCCGGCGTGGTGCTCAAACACACCAAGCTTGCGCTGCACACGCCCACGGGGTCACATGACACAGGGAGCCGCACCTGGGAAGCACCACACATGGTCTACACCACTCCCGCTCTGGGGACGTCCCCTGCACACCGTCATCTTGTGGGGATGCAAGAGGTTCATGGCATCTACACGCCTGCAGAAGTGTGTGTCTGGCCCGTGGTGTTACCTGGAATGCTGACGTCTGGGTCCCAGCTGCAGTGGGCCTGCTGGCGCTTCGTATGGCTCGTCCACCTCATATACACCTGCCCCAGGGTCCTCTGCGCTGCTGGAGTTCTGCCACGCCAGCTCTGGAGTTTTCCCTGCAGCCACGAGGAACGGCAAGTTCTCATATTCCGGGATCTCCTCGTAATGGCGTACATTTTCATACTCTGGAGCACAGAGGCTGGTGCTGGGCTTGCTGGACGCCTGGGGTGGCTCCCTGGAGAGCATCTGGTCATCCAAAGACTCCGCCCGAGGCCCACCAGCCGCACTGGGCTGCCGAGACCTTTTCCTCTTCTTCTGCGACTCCGGGCCGCTGCTGTCCACGGAGTGCGCCTTGCCAGGTCTGGCCCTGTTCTCCTCTCCTCCTAGCAGGCCACGCCAGTCAATTTCAAGCCCCTTCCACTCCGCGCCTGACGGGGGGCGGCCTGTGCCTGTGTCTCCAAGCAGGCCACTCCTGGACCAAAACTTCTGCAAGTCACTCTTCAAGAACCCGAAGGACAGCTTCATGCTGAGCAACCTTCGAAACGAGGTTTTCCTCACAGAGTCTCTGCAAGGCTTAGTGCACCTTTCTGTGTCCATCGCCGACAACGACTTGGCTCGGGGCTTGGTCAGGGTTGGCGAGGGCTCACTCTGCGAGGACATGACGACAGACTTCAAGGCTTCCGGGTTCCCTGGAAAGGGTAAAATGGGGTGAGGTAATTTCCACACTGGCTTTTCTGAAGTGCGCTTAGGCACATCAAAGGAGGAGGACACAGCCTGTTTTGGGTCACACAAATGCCGAAGGTGACTTCTTTCTAGAACCTTCTCTGAATCATTCTCTTCATTTGAGGGAAACAAACTCTTGTCCACGAGTTCCACAGAGGCAGCCTTTTTAAGCAGTCCTGCAGCAGGCACGCTATGTCTCTGGGGCTTCTTGGGAGCGATTCTTGAGGAAGCTTCCTCTTTCACACTCGATTCCTTCTGCATGTGAGGGGCAGAAACAGCCAGGTTTCCCTCCGGTTGCAAGTGTTCCTTGCACGTTAATTTGAGTTGCGTAGGCAGGCTCATAGACAGAGTACTGCATCGTAGAAAACTGGTCCCCTTGTTCATAGCCAGGGACACGCCAGAGCCATCTACTGCCGTGCTGTCAGAACTCAGATTGGAGTTGGCATCTAAAGGAGGTGCTGCCTTTTCAAGGGCAGACGCTTTATGACACGTGGCCTTCTGTGAACTGACTAGGCCTCGCGTGTCACTGTTGGATTCCACATTCAAGTCACTTTTGTTTCCTAGCTTCACTCTGTCCACCTGACCCTGGTCACGCAAAACATTCACGGGAAGAACACAGATGTTACCGTTTTTCAAACTGCCTTCCACAAGCCAAGAGGAGTCACGACTGACACTCTCTGGCTCTTCGGTATGCTCACCTGGAGTATCCACATGCCATTGACGCAACAGGCGAGCAGTGCGTGTCTTTCTGGGCTTGGGAGTAGGAAACTTGGGGGTGTATGGCACTAAGTGAATTGCTAAGGGCCCGAGGCCTCGGGCTTCTGGTTCCTCGCTAACCCTGACTGAAGACATACAAGTGGCCCGGGGACCATTTTCCTGAGTTTCAAGTCCCAGCGAATGACTGTGATTCTTGCCCTTTTCACTGCCGTTCTGACAAGTTTCAGTACTTTCACATCCATCCCCCGGAAGGCAACTGTGACGATCAGGGGCTTTTTCACAGCTGGACAGGGCGGGTGGCACACCGGCAAATTCAATTCGGAGCAGCCTGCTGGAGGCATTCGCGCTGGGGGCACCTGGGGACCCGTGCTTCCGAGAGGAAAGGAGCGGCGACACCCGGTGGGCGAGGACCCCCTTGAGCTTCTCCTCCAGGAAGCTCGCCTTCAAGACCACCTCCCTCTGGCTCCTGACCCTCTCACAGGCAGAGCCACATTCACTCCTAGATTCATCCACTCTACAGCTTTCTGAATTCTCGCTTGTGTCCAGGGGCTCGGAAACAAGCTGCTTCCCACGCAGATTCTCTCCACTCCCAGCCTCGTGGAGACACGCAGAGCCGCAGGAACTCACCGGCAAAATGTCATCACAGCACTGGGCTCCCGCGGGCTGGCAGTTCCAGGTGTCGGGGCTCTCGGCCGACATCCACCTGAGCTCCCCCAGGCTCCTGGTAAACTTCCCTGCCGGCAGCTGCCCAATGTCACCCACAGGCGCGCTCCCCAGGGCCTTTGGTTTCGGGGCCACTGCCGGTTTGGCTTTCTTCGTGGACTGTGGGAGACCAGAAACCACAACGTCGGGTTTAGGTGCGATGGGAGGTGGAGCTGGTTTATGATTTGCCACAGCAAACTTTGGCTTGGGGGCCACAGGGGGCTTCTTAATCTCTAGAAAGGAAAAAATAATCATTTGATGTCAAAATAGCCAAAGCACAAGATGACACATAATTAAATTTGATAACTTTTAGCTTTTATTTTTCCTTTTTTCTTTCCTAGAGCCATAAGTTTTTAAAACAGTTGACCTTTAACAATATGAACTTGCATTATGCTACACAGACTAAGTTACATCATATGGAATCAAATTACCCTTGAAAATTCCTTGACCTGCCCATCGATTCCAGCACATGTAGCCTTGGGTATAGTGCACATTTTAAAATAAGTCCAATACTGTTTTTCTGCCAACGTTCGAACAGGTTGTCACCTCTTCAGTCGATACTAATGAACTACGCAACTTCTGTCTGGGACCCACATAGCAGCTCACCGTTTTTGCTGAGAGCTGAACGTGCCTAAGTTAAATGCAGGGTGCGACGCTTTCAGCTTCTGGGGAAACTAACCGCGGTATTCTTCCACCCCAGGAGAACACCGGATGGTTGTGGAAGGGCTCTTTATCAACAATCTGCCTCTCTCTCTCGATGGAACCTCCACACAATCTTAATAAGGAATACAGAAATCACAAGTTCTCTAAACTTAAAAACTGAAAATTGCTTCTTTGGCATTCGAGGCTCATAATAGAGCAGGCATTCCTCTGTGCAGGGGTAATCAATTGAGAATTTGCATTCTGTCCCTCCTTGGAACTTCCACGTGCCTGGCCCCACCCCTGTCCTGATCAGTCAGAGTCTCTGGGAACAGACCTAGGACACCTGTGCTTCTCTTAGGTTCCAGGGTGACTCTGCTCTTTATCCTGCATTAATAACCACCCTTCTAGTGCATTTAAAGATGACCACAATTTCTACAGCGGCTATCCTTCCTCCACCCTTCTACATAGAGCATCTAATTAACACCCATTGTACAGTGTCCGATGTGTCCAGACCTGCTCCTGTAGGAGCCTCACCAAAGCCTCACACAAAAGCCTTGTGAGATGGAGAGGTCCGCAGAGCCTGCACCTCTGTACTTCTATCAAAGTTCCTGAAGTTCCTCCACCTGCACTGTCTCTTGCCAACCATATTTTCCCAAGGAGACTTGAGGCAAAACATGTTTTATGCATCTTATATTTATTCCTTCAACAGTGTCCAACACTTCATAAAAAACGAATTTACGGAAAAAATTTTCAAAACGCCTGCTGCAAAGAACCGCTGGACAATATTGAATTACTTGACTACACAGAGGGTTTGACATTTCGTCTGGTGATGACTTTCTTCTCAACCAAGGAAATGAGTCACACCTGGGGAGACACTGCATGGAACTGAGTGGAAAAAAAGTAGGTGCTCCACTTCCTTTCACCAACTAAGCAAGAATTTTCCAAATCCCTAGCACGATGTGGATAACAAAGATTTTAAGCAGATGTCTTCTTACTCAATTTCTAGGTGTAATGTAATGTTACCATGAAGAAGATAATAAATTACTTTCAAAATAACTCAACACAAATTCCCAAATCCATACCATTTCAGTTTTGTTTTTGTTTTTGTTTTTATACTTTTTTCTGGTAAAAAGTAACTGTGAACCCTTCAATACCCCACAAACCTTAGTCATGAAACCTGCTGCAATGGTCTATTCAATTACACCCTCCATCTAGCAAGTCAGGTCTTCAGAGAAGGCGTGAAGGCCTTAGGCCCCTACCCAACTGCCATCTTAGTCAGCAAGATCCCACAGATGGTAATGTTGATTTTATTTCTATAACCATGCTCAAAACATCCTACACCTCTGGGAAGCTTGAAAAAAGTTTTTTATTAGTTTTGTAAGATGAAGAGTTGAGACTGGCTGCACAACATAAAGATACTTAACACTTCTGAACTGTGTACTTAAGAACGAACGGTTAAGATGGTTGGGTTCGGTGGCTCAGCCTATAATCCCGCACTTTGGGAGGCTGAGGTGAGTGGATTGCCTGAGCCCGTGGGTTCGAGACCTGCCTAGGCAACTTGGCGAGACCTCATCTGTACAATAAATCAAAAAAAAATTAGCCAGGCGTGGTAGCGCGTGCCTGTAGTTCCAGCTACTTGGAAGGCTGAGGTGGAAGGATCGCTGGAGCCCAGCAGGTCGAGGCTGCAGTGGCCGGGAGCAGCCACTGCACTCCAGTATGGGCAACAGAGTGAGACTCCAACTCAAAAAAAAAAAAAAGAACGGTTAAGATGGTAAACGTAAACGCCATGTGTATTTTACCACAAGTTAAAAAAAACTTATCAAATTACTCTTCTACTTTCTGCATCTTAGAGCCTTGTCAGAAGCTTCAGGATTGTTTAACCAACTCATTTTTACTTTTTGCTTTCCTTTAATCTCTGGTACTAATTTTACTCTTTTTTTTAAGTGTGTTTTCTCTAGATGTGTTTTGTCCATGACTCTGCTTCTAAGACATATGGGGGACCCAAAAAAACCTTGGAATTTATTAAAAATTGTGTTATTCTTTGTTGTTTTTTTAATTGTGTTATTCTTACGTGTTTAAATTTCAGTCACTTGCAAAGTACTCTCTGTTGGATGCTATGACTATCAAGGTGCTTTTCCCACTGCTCTAAACAGTTTTTGTTTTGTTTTTTTTGACTTGGAATCTCACTCTGTCGCCCAGACTGGAGGGCAGTGGCCGCTCCCGGCCACCGCAGCCTCAACCTTCTGGGGCTCCGGCGATCCTTCTGCCTCAGCCTTCCAAGTAGCTGGAATTACAGGCGAGCGCTACCACACCCAGCTAACTTTTTGATTTATTGTAGAGATGAGGTCTCGCCAAGTTGCCCAGACAGGTCTCGAACCCGCGGGCTCAGGCAGTTCACTCACCTCAGCCTCCCAAGGCATGGGATTACAGGCTGAGCCACCGAGCCCGGCGACAGTTTTTGAACTCATCAATTTTGATGCCTTTTATTGTTTCTGCCGGGTTTTTTTGTCACTTGGGGTGAGATCGGGTGAATAGGGAGGGTAGAACATGGGGGTCATGCATTTTTGAGTTAGAAACTGCTGAACACTGAGTGTGTGTGGGCAGGTGCGTTGTCATGGCAGAAGAAACCGTCACCTGTGTGCCACAACTCCGGACGTTTCTTCTGCAAATCGTGACACAACCTTCTCAAAACGTCCAAATAAAATCTTTGGCTGACCATTTGATGCGGAACAACAAATTCTGAGTGTACTACAAGGGGCCTGCCCTCCAAAAGATAACTCCGGGTTTTGGGGGCCCCCTCATAAGCACCTGTGTTCTCTCAGTGTCATAGAAATTCAAGTACCTACATCGATACAATGAGGAGGAGGCCGATCACATAACTAGCCAGAGCTAAGCTCACCTTGAGCCTCATCACATCTGGCACCTCATTTTCCTTCCTGGTAAGGGGGGAGCTGAACAGATCTCTAAAGCCTACGTGAATCTGGGATTATTACTCCAGAGACACTTGATTCAGGAGAATGCTGATTTGCAGCAGCCTCTCGTTCCTGTGCTGTTTTCTTCTCTTCTTTGAGTGGAGGCTGGAGTGCAGTGGCATCACGATGATCACGGCTCCCAGCAGCCTCAACCTCCTGGGCTCAGGCAGTCCTTCCACCTCAGCCTGCCAAGTAGCCGAAACCACAAGCTCTCGCCATTGCACCCGGCTAACTGTTTAATTTTTGGTCTTGCTATGTTGCCCAGGCTGTGTTGTTTGTCTTCTTTTTTAAAAAATCAAGATCCAGCCAGGCTCTGTGGCTCAGCCTCTAATCCCGTGCCTTTGGGAGGCTGAGGTGAGTGGATTGCCTGAGCCCGCGGGTTCGAGACCCGCCTGGGCAGGCAGACCTCATCTCTACAATAAATCAAAAAATCAGCCGGGCGTGGTAGCGCGTGCCTGTAATTCCGGCTACTTGGAAGGCTGAGGCAGAAGGATCGCCGGAGCCCAGCAGGTCGAGGCTGCGGTGGCCGGGAGCGGACACTGCACTCCAGTCTGGGTGACAGAGTGAGACCCCAACTCAAAAAAAAAAAAAAAAATCAAGATCCACTGTGATGTGGAACAACATTTTGGAAAACTCAGCAGGAATCAACTTCAACAGGATGACTGAATAACTCCTTGATTTTTAATAGGAGCAGGGGTTCAACTAAGTCACTGCATAGCACTATCCCAGATCCTCCATTATTATCATCATTTTGAGAAATGGCTCTGTTTTGAAAAAAACACAACTGAAAAAACAATAAGCCACTCTATCACGGTCTGCTCCAATGTCTCTTGAAACAAGTGCAGGGCGCTCACCAAGGAACCCAGCACCTTTGGATCTTACTTAACACTGCATCAACAGACCCAGTGCTTCTCAGAGCAAAGCAGCAAACCTTTTATTTACACAGCTGTTTGGCTCCAGGGAACTGTAAAGCAGGAAAGTACAGCACTAGGACCATGTCACTACGGATCACAAACACACTGGTCACCTGTCACACACAGACGGCTGTGGCTCATGGGGACATGCCTGGCCACTGGACCAGCCAAAGTCACGCACAGACGAGAAGGTGGCCTGTATATGTTCAGAGAGACACAACACATTCACCTATAATTCTCTCTCCTTTTCCATATACTGTTTAGAATAATTCTGAAATCTCCACCAGGGATACTTTCACACACGCAGAAAATGAAAGGAAATTCTTCTTCAGGATACACGTGACTTAGGTTTTCTACAACAGTCTTCTTATTCTCTTAAATGCCAAGTAACAGACTGGGGGTCAAAAACAAACGTTCTCTCCCCCAACTGCAAATAACTTTTCAAAAAGCATTCATGAATGTGACTCCTGTAAAAAAAAAAAAAGCACTGTAACAGCTTGCAAAAACTGTTCAGATAATTCCATAGGAATGGGGTGGACACAAAACCCCAGCTCCGTTTCCCACCCACACTCAAGGGAGAACAACAAAACACCCGACAGGTGGGCAAGCGAAGCAGCTGATGCCGCCTCAGCCCCAGGCTCCAGACCAAAAGCCCAGCTGGCCACAGGCAGTCCCTCTTCCAAACACCACAAGAATGCCTGTGGACTGCTCTGATTTCGAAGCTGAA